GTGTACGTAAAATAATATACGGATGTGCGTCCCGGTAATATTTTATCAACACTGAAAATATTAAATTCAAAATAAATTAGACTTATATATAACCTTGTTATTTGGTTGCATTGTTTTTTGTATCAATTTTAAAACATTTAAATTCATAAATTTATATAATATAACCATGTTCGTATTTTATTTTGTATATTATTATCATTTTTTATATACTTCTGATTATAATAATATTTTCTAATTATAACCATACGATAAAATTTATCATATTTTGCGCTTTTATGTAACACGAAATTATCTATTTTCGTAATATCGCAGATAGAAAAATGTAAATAAAATATTATAGTTTCGTAAATTTTGATCTAAACAATTTGTTTTGTTACGAAATGTCAGCCCGAACAGACGTTAATATTGTATTTAGGCGCATAGATAATAATATTTGTGAACGGGATTTCTTCATAAATTATCTGAGGAAAAATTATATGTTTTTAATAACAAGGCACGTGGGAAAATGTATGATTTGATAAGAAAAAGAATGTATGTCTATATATACATATTAAAAAAAAACCACCGATGCATCGTCGTCCCGTGTCGAATATCATTTCGATTTCATCCACAACGGAAAATTGTGTTTTGCGTTGGTAGGTGATGTTAATACATGATATTCGTACGTTATAGCATATAACACTATTATTACACCGTTACCGTGCGGATCTAGATTATGCGAAATTTCAGTTACCTCTTGCACTGAATGTGATACAGTAGCTATACATTGGCTCGTTTTTTGTCCAGTCACAATTACTAAACAAATAAAAATTAAAGCTTACACCTTAAAGTTTTATGCTTGGAAACATGATGATTTTTTTTAAACGTAAAGCACTAGTTTTATCGATAAATTTATATGTTTTCGAAAACAATATTATTCTCAAAAAAAAAAAAAATAAAAATATTATTCTCATTATTAAATCAAAGTCCTTTTTCCATTTCATTAATTGTTGTAAAACAACAAAACAACTATAATTTAATATATTTTTTAATGTTATTAGTTCGTTAGGATTTCTTATTTTTAAATATAGGCACAGAACAACCGATGTTCTTAATATTCTGAAGAAGGGCGTTTTATTTTAGAAGTAATCGTGTATCAAACGAGAAATTGATTGATTATATTCAAGTATCGAAAGTTTAAACGGGTTGAGTGAACCTCTTAAAAAAAAGAAAATATTGAAAAAATATTAGAATAAAAACTATGTATGGAAAACTAAACATTTGTCGGAAATTTTGTGCAGTAGAGAGTTGAAAGAAAATGTTTTCGAAAAATTGCAAAACAATAAGGTCAGTGAAATCACCCTGTATCCTCCATAACAATATAAGATATATATATATATATATATATCTGAAAGTTCCGGATACGGGACATGCGCTAATATTAGCTCAATGCTCAGAATATACTGTATACTTACTCGTATATCGCGACGAGAATATTTGTACAATTATAATGGGAAAACTATGTGTTTTATGAGTTTTTTTTTTTTTTTTTTGTTTACTCCAGTCTGCCGGGCAACCACATTTATCGCTTTACACGTGACTTCTACATCGGATATACATTAAAATATTATATAACTTTTGTGCAAATAATTCGGTTACAACAGCGGTGTGTGGTGTCACCGGTATACTAGGTAGCGTTTAGACAAAACTATATACGAACACCAATATTTTCCGTATTAGATCAGGGGTTATTCGAAGGATTTTTATCAATTACGCATTTTATTTAAATAAGCCTATCAAAATATACTATCAAATTATAGTTAAAAATGATAAAATGTGTAGCTTCTATGTGAAGTAATTTAAAATGTAATGTATTTAAAAGATATAAAACAATTTACATTCGTGTTCAAAGTATTTTTTTTTAATTTTTTAATAAATTTCCTTTTTACTTTGTTTATAAATCATAATGTGATGTATAAATTATACACTAAACAACATTGAATTAAAAATCAATTATGCAAAAGTTTATTATCAAGTGCGCATCTACCTTTTCCAAATACGTAAAATAAGCCCAACTGCGCTTTAGAATAAGCCCTGGATTAGATACTTATCTGCACGTCCAATAATATATACTTGTTCTTAACTTTGATAACTCTAAATAGTTTACTTACGTATCGGTGTTTGACTTTTACACTTCGACGTTGTGTTGCCATTTAAATAATGAAAACATTTACGTTAAAAGTAGTAAAAATCGTAATTGTATCGCTAAAAAAAAAATTTGTACCAATTAATTTGCGCAACCGTTTTGAATTGCCTTCGAATTATTAATAATAATTAATTAAAAAAAAAAAAAAAAAAAAACACGAAATATGACAAGGAAAAAATCGTTCTGAACTCATACGTTGGATGTATTATTATTGTATTTCATCGTTTTATTCCGTCTAGTATAAAGTTTTTCAAATACCATTTCTAAAGATGCGCGCCTTTTATATAAAACGTCACACATCATTCTCATGGTCATTTTAGTCGAATTTCATACGAAAGGTTTTTCATCATAACGATATGTTCATCGAAAACGTTACTCGTATACATGATTTATTATAATATAATATAATTGATGACATTGATCGAGTAAGTATAATGCTTCAATTCTTTGTACACATGAGAAGAGTGTCTTTTCGCGTGGAATTTGCGTTATGTATTATCATAATAATACGATTGTACGATTGTCAGTGAATGTTAAGTACTCATATATTTGTTGAGCTCGGATTACTAAAATGTGGTTAAAAATATAAAATATTATGCTTCTTTGTAACAGATTTAGTTATAAAATGTTATCTAGACTGAATGCTAATTATTCTGATTATACCTACGGATTACTTATAAAAATTGATGCATCGAAAGAAAAAAAAATGTAAAACGACAACTTATCGTTAGATTTGTTGTGAGTCAAAAATAAATATTAACCTTAGACTTTATAGAACACGAAATGTCGACATTTTTTATCAAAATTATTCTAGGTCAATTGTAAAAGAATATGTATTTGCATAAAAATTAGGGCTTTAGTTATGACAAAAAAACGTCAAACATCCGCTGTAATCCTATTAGAATATTATTTATTTATTGAATCAATTGAATTTTATTATAATAATACGAATTCAGAAAAATAAAACACAAAAAAGCAGTTAATAATATTTATAAACAAAAATACGGATGATAAAATTATTATTTATTAATAATCAGGTTGAAATTAAATTGATTTTGATTGGGAGAAAATTATTTCTCTAAAAAAAATATATATTTATATTTTATTCAAAATGGTGTAATAACTATTATTTACTATTAGTGTAATATATTGGATATTGAAATAACCATATGTGTTACATTTAATAAGTAAAATTGTGTTTTTACTATAGTTAGTTATCGATTCCTATCGAACATAATAAACTATGCGTAGGTAAGTACAAATAATCGAGTTGTGATAGTTCCAATTACATTTTAATGATCCCTTAGTGAGGTGCAATAATTAGTTGTTATATATTAATCCTAATAGTGTTATCACAACAATTTCATTTACACTTCCGAACTAGGTTTAAGAGGTTCATAATAAATTTACGGCGAATCATATACATGATTTTAATAATCAATTATTAAGATGCACTTAATGAGTCCGTGAAAAACTTCGATCGATAGCATCACCAATCTGTGGGGTTATCGAGTTATCACGTGTGAGCTGTGAAATCATGCGTGTGTGATATTTTTGTCTATATGGAGGCTATGAGTACGTTTAATATTGTTTAAAGTTATGTTCACTTAATTAAAATAATTTAAGCTTATACTTAAACAACATTAATAAATATTGATAAAATGAGACTGAATCAAAAATCAAATACATAATTTACTGTCGGTATCATATTATAAGTATAAAATAAATAAATAACTGTCTACCCTCAAACATTAAGTACAACACTTAATAATATAAATGTATAAAATAAAATGTAAAATATAATAAGTATAGAATGTTACAGTATTGAATATATTTATATTTAATAATTATTATAATAGATTTTTGGTTTTAATGATTTTAACTATTTTTATTATTAACCGGCTTTCCCAAATAAATATAAGTTTTGATAGGACCTTGGTTATCATTAACAAATTTAATTTACTAGTATTGGTTATTAAAAATTTTTTAAGAATTTTACATTGAATAAGAGAAAATCAGTCTGTTAACCTGCAATACCAACCACTAAGATTTTATAATTTTATTACCATAATAATAGTCTTAAAATTGTATATTTGGACTTCAATTAGATTATTTGAACATCATAAATATGAAATTCGATTTCATCAGTGCTAACGCAGTACCCTAATTTAGATCTAATATAAAAACAATATTTTCAATAATTATTTCGTCCAACGCAACTGGTGAGTGATAAGTTTCTGTTTTTAAAGGAAATTAATTGTCGTTTAAAGGTAAGCCGTGGTTATTACAGGAAGATTTACCTATATTTTGCTTGAACATATTACGATTTATTCACGTGTTGAAATTGATTTTGTAAGTACAGTGAAAGATACGTGTAACAGAAAGTCACGGGATCATGAAAAGTGTTCGTTATGAACAGGTTTTCATATATTTAATGAAGATATTTTATTTTTATAAGAGAAAGCATTTATACTATACCTACATATTATATAAAAATTTTTGCTTTTAAAAAAGGTTTATAGGAATAAATGCTTGATTTTTGGATTTTGTTATAACCACCAAATGGTACTCGTTGTAAAATTTAAATTTTGAATTATTCCTTGGTTCAATGATAATTTCAAGATTATCCGTAGGTATCTGTTAAATCTGAATTTACTATATTTTTAACTAGTTGTGTTGGTAAATAATTTATAGATCACGGTCGTATATTTTATTATTTAATTAATTTAAAATTCACTCTACAGTTCTTTGATTGTCTGCGAAATTCGTATAGTATTAACTCTTATTTAACTTATTTAACTTATTTTTATTTCAGATAAAAACTCGTTAATCTCATCTACATATAATTTATACAAACAGAGAAAATGACATCTGGAGAAAAAAATGTTAAACTCCGTCGAGAACTGGGCCTGTTCAGTGCTACGTGTCTCATCATAAGCGTGATGTTAGGTAAGTGGTTTAGGTATACTTTAATACTTAAGAATTTAGTAAACTTAATATACCTAGTATATTTTTTATGTTTACTTCAGTAAACTCTAGATATAATAGAAAGTACGTATAATTAAACTACTACGATCGAATTTTAGTTTTTTTTAACGATAATTTGTAAAAAAAAAATTGTTCTTCTCGTATCATTTGCTGCAAAACTTACTCAAGCAGATATATGTACTAGAAACAAACTAAAAACACAATTTGTATTGGGTTTTGAATTTTGAAAAAAAAAAGAAATAAATGCTTTTCGAAAAAGTGTTGCTCGACATTGGAATTCTATTATAAATTTTTGCAAAAGCTTCTTGACTGCGTTAATATCACGTGTTTTCATATATTTTCATAGGTTCAGGAATTTTCGTTTCTCCGGCTAATGCGTTAAAGAACACAGGATCGGTGGGCATGTGTCTTGTCATCTGGATGTCTTGCGGCTTGCTATCACTTTTAGGTAAATTATATCATAAAATGCAACAATTTTTTATTATTATACTGCCATTATAATACTATACAAGGTGACCTAGTATGTTTTCACGATAAAAATATTAATAATTTTATTTCCATCTTTTATGTTTGAATACAATTTTATAGTAGGGGCCATATATTTGGTCAATTTGGTAAATCCTTAACTAGCTTGAAAAAACAACTTTTTAATTTCCAAAAAATAACAAATGAGTTACTATATATATATGATATATACAATAAAAGAAAGCATCTATAATTTTGGAAAATCGAAAATTATTATCTTTTGAAAAAATGATCGTTTATTTGATATTGCTCATTTTAAATAATTGAAGATTGCTTGTCAATACATTTTTCTTAGTTGAAAAATGAATTTTCAACATTCATAGAATTTATCAGAGGTTATTTATACAAAAATCTTTAGAAAATTGTTAAAAACGAATTAAAACTGCTTTAAAATCTACAAAAGTCCAATCAATAAATAACTTTATTAATAACGATATTAATTATCTGATGTACTGATTATCCTAAAATATTTGAAATATACGAAAGTACTCGTTTATGCAAAACCAATAAGTTTTGAACCCTAGCTGTATAGCTATGAAACCAATTATTTTATTTTCCATTGGAATACTTAATGAATTTCATCGTTAACTTGATTCTTAAATATGATAATGATATGATAATAAATATGATAATAAGTAATAATAATAAAATAATAAAATTTATTTTTCTCAGTTGGATAATAGATGAAAATAAAAATTTATTTTCACATTTTTCATATGGATCTATTTAAAAAAAAAAATACACAATACAGTTTGAAAATAAATTAACACTTACAGTTATACTTTATTCATTCCATCGGAAACACATACTACCTACATACTATTCGTATTATTTGGACCCTGGTATTGATGTTATACACCCTATCCTTGTATCGTTTCGCAGGAGCCCTGTCGTACGCCGAACTCGGCTCGGTGGTCAACAAGTCGGGTGGCGAGTTCAACTTTTATCGGACCGCATTCTCCGACATGCACAAATTCTGGGGCCCTCTACCCAGTTTCATATACTCGTGGGTGTGCATCATGTACATCCGTCCCGCCGAAGTGGCCATCATCATATTGACGTTCGCCGAATATTTTGTGCGGCCTATTGGCATATGGGCTCATATGACACCGGAAAACGAAGAATCGACTAAGAAAATCGTCTCCGTACTTGCTATCAGTAAGGACCGTGAACAATAATGTTTTTAAGTTATATTTTTATCTGTTTATTATTTTGATTTAAGCAACCGAATTATACAATTTTATTTTTTGTCTGTTAAAGGCATTATCACATGTATAAACTACAACAGCGTCAAATGTTTTATCAAAATTCAAAATCTCTTTACTATATGTAAAGTCACGGCTTGTATATTCGTCATCGTCGGTGGAGTGTATCAACTCTACTCGGGTATATACGAATTTTTTTTTGAAAAAATTCAGTATTATATACTTATTTTAATTACAATCCAATTTGATTCTGCAGGAAACACAAAGAATTTGATGACCGGGTTCGAAGGTACTACATTATCGATGGAATCGCTTCCAATTGCTTTCTACAGCGGACTTTGGGCGTACGATGGATGGTAAATATTCGCCTTCTTTATTGTATATTCATGGTCACATTTTTCTACCACCGTTATACATTACGAATATTGCGTTTATTTTTTAGGACTGCTACGACTAGTGTCTCCGAGGAAATAAAAAATCCCCAAAGGTCTGCAAATTATTACATTAATATTATTACTTTTTAAACCAGATTTTTATTGGTCTTGTATTGTTGCAGGAATATATTGCTAAGCGCATTACTAGCCGTACCTTTTGTCACGATGATTTATGTTTTGATGAACGTGTCGTACCTTACAGTCTTGTCAGTCCCAGAAATGACATCTGTTCCTGCCGTTGCAGTTGTAAGTGTATAAATTATTATCATCGATGCTAAATTGACTAAAACCAAAAATGCCTATATTTTATTTAGGAATTTGGAACTCGAGCTTTAGGGAATTTCAGTTTCATAATCCCACTAGGCGTCGTTACAGCAACATTCGGTTGTGCGCTCAGTGTCCAATTTGGAATCACCAGGTTGGCAGAGGATTTTCATTAAGAAATTTAAAAGACCGTATTGACATATTTTATTTTTATAGATTATGTTTTGCCGCAAGTAGAGAAGGCCAAATGTTGGAGGTTTTCTCTTACGTGAGCGTCAAAAATCTAACTCCTGCGCCAGCTGTTGTTTTACAGGTTAGATATTATACAAAGAATAATTGATAAGCAATGTTATGCAACAACATGGGCATAACTTGGAAATTTATTAAGGGGAGAAGGGCAAATATATAATTACATATCTAACGAAAATAGGTGTCCGTGGCCAGGGTTGGGCTAGCTCTATAAGCTCGGCCCTGGCAAAATAATTTCGAACGGCCTCAATGGAACTTTATAAATAGGTACCTAATCAAATTATTGTTTAACTGAAAATATATCTTCGTAACTCAAAAAACAATATACACACAAGTACATTTGAATATTTTCAGATTTAATGTTCATACCTTAAATCTAGTTTACGCATAATATATCTTATCTATAATATTGATATAATGACCTACCTATTAAGATGAATTTGACAGCATAAAAAATGATTTGATTTAAATATTTTTATATATTTAATTTTAATTGAGTAAGAACAGTGGTCAGCAACTAACGTCTTTTTTATATGGCCCGCAGTAAATTTCAAAACTAGCAAATGTCATTATATATACATTTTTTGTATTGTCTGGCCATAGAACTATTTTTAATTTGTGAATGTGGCTCAAAGGTCCATAAAGATTGCTAACCACTGAGTTAGAACATATTGTTTTTAAAAAAAAAATTGCTTACCGGTAATAATTGAATTTGATTTAAAAAAAAATTGTATAGTAATAGCTATAACCAGCTGTTTTGTACTTATTTTAAAACAAGGTATGTTAAATATCAGATGGGGCACTTCCCTTCATGATTTATTCTAGGGGGTAATTGTGCCCCCCCCCCCAGTTTACGCCTATGTGCAACAATATTATAATTACAAATTATGACTTTGTACAAATACAATACTTAGTAGTACGAAGTTTAAATACTTTTTGTTTCGTTTTTATTTCAGGGTTTACTCACATTGGTCTGCTTGTTAAGTGGTGACATCATATCGTTAATAGAGTTCGCTAGTTTCTTATCCTGGTTGTTCTACGGTATTTCCATGGTGGCGTTGTTAGTGTTGCGTTACACCAAGAGAGACGTTAAACGTCCATTTAAAGTAAACACATCATTATACTGTCGTAGTAACGACATTAATGCCATTTATCACCTATATGGTGATGCGAAACGTTTACTCCCATGTCCTACTATGGACTTTATAGGATATTATGATGTGTAATATTATATTCAAGGGAAGGAAATGATAAATTGACTACAACGTGATGAAAGAATTCATCTTAAAGTATTTGATTGACTTCCCAATATTTCTGGGTTGTTAAAGTTTCGTTTATCACCTCTATGGTGATGCCAAACGTTTTCTCTCGTGTCCTACTATGGACTTTATCTCGTGTGGGGTCGATTTAATAAATTATTCTGGGTCCTTAAAGGACTGATTTCACTGTTTAAAAGTCATGTTTGTAACACTAAGAAAATAGAAAAACACTGTTTCATGCTAATGTTTGTTATTAACTAGCATCCGTTTTGAACGATTAGGGTATTATATTTAGTGGGAACCTATTTGGAATGTTCCGATCAAATCGCTGCGATTACCGTTACTGATTGGTCTGTGTCATGTGATTATGTTTACATGGTATCCAAACGAAATCCCATATACACCTATAATTGTACCTAACTACCCTTCTGCAAGAAGTATGTAGCTAAAAACGTATCGTTTTGCGCACACTATGGGTCGGATAAACGTTTCTTGTTTTTAATTTAACTTTTTTTTTTTGTTCTTTTTGTGTACAGGTGCCGATCGTCATCCCAATATTCGTGCTCATCGTATCCGTTGTTCTGTTCGTTACGCCGATTATCAATGATCCCAAACCTCAGTTCCTTATCGGATTGATATTCATTTTATCAGCATTTTTGATATATATTCCGTTTGTGTACCAGAAGAAGAGATTGGCAGTGCTTGGTATGTATAATATAACGACATTTTGTGAAAACCACGTGCATGGAATGCACAGGTTACACGATACCGTTTGACGATTTCGAAACGCTAGTCCTGGTCGAATCGTCAATACTTGATACTTGTAACTATGTTCAAACTTAAACGTAATAATGTGTGCCCATTGTAATAGCAAATCGATCCAAAATAGAGGGGCTTAATTTTTTCTGAACAACTTTTGAATACACCTTGTACCCAGATAGAGAGAAACGCAGGGAAAATACTATGCGAGAGGTTCGTTAATGTAATAAAATGTATATAAATTAAGTCGTTTCTGTTACGTTTTTTTTTATATAAAATATATATAAATCACAAGTTTTCGACGACAATATTAAATATTATTGTGATAGAAAAATTAAAATTTTAGTAAACATTATTGTTTATAACACTATCGATCATAGTTTTTTCGGTCCAGAACATTTCAGCGGTGTCATTATTAACTTTTATCGTTAATGATTTAAATCGTTTATGGAAGTAAGGGCTAATCGTATGTTTAATATCTGTTAAATAACCTAAATGTGATTCATGAATATGCCAGTGTGTATAACAATAACGCGCCAACGTCATAATAATTACGTTATACGCGTCTGCTGTCATCGTATATACTGATTTTGATTTGATTTACAGATCATTTCACAAAATTTGTTCAAGTCACGATGTCCGTTGTGCCGCCGGAGAAAGACGAACAAGAAGAGCAAACCGAAGAGAAGATGTGTTTGGAGAACCAGGAACAAGTGCCTATATTTATTGAGAAGGTGTGAATCCTGTCAATTCGGGGTGTGTGTACGCGGTCCAAGACTGCCCGCTCCAGGAACGGATTGTGTTACGAAATTCCGTGTCCTGGAGCACTTTCTAATATTATCATTATAATATAAGTAATCGTGTTCACACGCACACGGTAGCCAAATCTGTGATAATAGGTTAATGATCCTGCACGATTCCAAGTAACTATCCTCGAACACGTATCACATTGCGTTGTTATCATGGAAATCTCGGTGGTCTATATTAGGTACGCCGTTTTTTTTTATTTTTATTTATTTGATTATTATTTAAGTATTTGTTCAACTGATGTATTATTATTATTATGTAGCATCTTATTTACAGATATTTTATATGCTATAATAATATTAACTATACGTGTATTTTTAATTTATTTACTACTTTATATATATAGATATGTAAATAATTTGTTTTAAAATGATTATTTTATCGTTTAATCGTTATTACTTGTGATTATTTTATTTTATCGTATTATTTTATACGTATAATCGGTTTATTCATCGCGTGTATACTAATTATTATATTTTATAGTAAATGGTAATCGACTACATTTATGTGTTCAACATGATATTTATAACCATTGTAAGATTTCGTTTTAACATTATTTTTCGATACGAAGAACATTGAAAAGAACGATAATATGTTCTTAACGTTTTCATCAAATTACATTTCAATATAAAGATAAGAATATGATATATTTTTCTACTGCTTATCATTATTTATATGATGACCAATTAGAATTATTTAACAATAAATTATGATTTACTTATTTTGTATGTGTATTTATTTATGTTATTAATGTATATAATATTATTGATGATATTATATATCTCATTTGTTTTATATTGTCAAAATATCTTGAAATAAAACACAAATTCAACGGACCATTTTCTCTGATAGTTTTGGGGTAAGAGTTTTGCAACTGGACCAAGAAAGTGTGAAATTTCAGACGAACAATAATTTATTGTGAAAAAAATTAATCTTTCGTATACACTGATAATAATAGTCAACAGATGACGCAAGATATTGATTAATTGCATAGCGTAAGTAAATAATAACAAAAAGTTTAACATTAAATATAGCATAAAACTAGAAAAGAAGAAAAGAATAAAAAACGTATCACCCGCAGGCAAAATTGGACGTTGTTCGAATAATATTAAATAATATAGAATTATAGGTATTTGAAAATGTATTTCACTGGTTCTTAATGCACTCAAATATACATAAAATATCATTCAGATATTTATCTAAATAATCGTTTTGACGAAAAGGATTAAATAACCAGGCAACTCAAAAGAAAAAAACTATTTTGTATGCAAGTAGTTCAAATGGTATTGTTGCTTATATCATCGTTACAAATTATGTACACTTCTTATTTATCGTATTAATTGCGATATACATTTCTGAACAAAAAGTTATGAGAATATTATGAACACGAAAATAGTAGGTACTATACAGATAATTGTTTATTGGTACTAATTAGCTCTGTGGCTGATTCAAAGTCTTTACAAACAATTTATAAAAAATAATTAGTCTTTAGAGTTGTTAAAAATCACCTTAAATGCTTAATTATTAAATGTTTTTCAATTGTCAAATTCATAATGCAATTGTTCTAATTTGAAGTTGAAATATTGTGTTAAGTAAAAAAAATGACAAATTAATACGTTTTGTATTGATCGGTATTATTATTTGTCGGTATCGTTTTGTATTAAGTGAAAAGTTCTGTCCAAATAAATTCTGTTTTGTTGGATTTTGAGCCGATAACAATAATTGTAACAACAATTGGAATGAGAACACGTGTAAGTACTTAGTTTATACTGATGTATATTTAAAGGGGGTTGAATGGATAAATTCATGTTCATAATAATCGATAATACAATTAAATATTATATAAAATGGAAGGAATTTACTATATATTTTATAGTTAATTTAATGGAATTACCTACTTTCTTTACGGAGGTTTATTGGATAGCGTACATCTCCAATTTTTATAATTTGATTGTTTTTTATGAGAACCCGGGTCAAAGGATTTCTGCCTGTGATTTTCTATTGGTTTACACGATAGTCTAGCAATGTTCGTTAAATTTCTGCAGTAGTAATCGAAAATTTCTTTATCTGTAGTTTGTTGCGTATTGTCACATAACCATAGTTCAGAACCATACATTATCGAACGTAGTATCATCACCATTTGTGTTTCGTATTTGAAATTATCAGTTTTGTTGATTGGTCCACTTTGATAAGCGATACACCTTTAACTTTTATCAAAATCAGAAAAAAAGTTTTTCTGATGCTGAAAAAAATATACAATATCAAATTGGTCTTTTTTTTACTGAGTTTAATATATATATTAGTATTATGCAATAAAAGAATTCCAATGTGGCTGAAAAATAAATTGTACAGGAATATAATGAGATCAAATATGCTATATGTTTCGGAGTGTTGGGTAATTGACAGGAGAATAGAACAGAGTATGATTGTTGCAGAAATAAGAATGCTTAGATGGACAAGTGGAGTGACAAAAAAAGATAGAATAAGGAACGAATATGTAAGAGTTGGTAATGGTGTACCATTGATAGTAGACTAGATGAGAGATAATAAACCGAGTTGGTTTGGGCATACGATAAGGCGAGTGGAAACAAAAGTAGTAATAGCTGTTATGAAAATGAAAGCTGAAGGAAAAAAGGAAAAGGAAAACCAAAAAAAGATGGTCGGATACGATTAAGAATGATATGGGGACTGTTGGTGTGTGCGTAAGGGATGTAGAAAATCGAGAAAAGTGGAGGATTAGGACAGTGGTGGTCTACCCAAATAGTTGCGAGAAAGGTGAAGATCATTGTAGCTATATTTGGACGTAAAAATATTCAAACAATTGTAATATGTTCAATTACTTATGATATGTTCGCTTCTAACTAGATGAATATCAAAAATATTATTCAACAGTTATGTGGATGTTATATTATGTTGTATGGAGTTTTCAACGACTTCCAAGATTCAACACTGAGTCAACGTTCAAAATCAATAACATTGGCAAGATGAAATTTGTATTTGCCAATTATAAATAATATCGATAACTTTATTTTGATTTATTCATGCAGTTATAACTTGTTCTTTTGCTATATAATCTAACATAATATAACATAGTAAATAGATAAAAATAAGAATAGTTCTTTTTGAAAAATGAAAAACCTTTAACTTTATAAATTATGGTACAAATTATGATATTATTGATTCACTCGTTTTAAAGGTACAGAATATGTTAACCGGCATTTCTAGAGACGGAAAAAAGCGGTAAAAAATATTATTATTGTTATCATAATAAATCACTACATTTTTCGATTTAAAAATTGACATTACATCTAATCAAAAAAACTATAAAAAGCATGCTATTTACTAAAAGAACAGTCGTCTGCGTAATGGTAATTATATTACTTAGGTACATTAAAATGTTAATATAATTTAATTGTTTTATTTATTAAATTTTTTATTTTTTATTTTTTTTATTGTATCTATTTTATAATATAACATAATGAAACGGCGAATCATAAAATTTTTAGAGTATGGAGCTACTATTATATGCAGTTGTTGAATAATAATTTGCTACCGATTTCTCGTTTATTGAATTGGCAATCATTCAAATTGGCTGTGCAAAACGTTTCGTCATGAACCCTGATTAAAGAAATAAATGATGAATTAAAATATGACATAACAATGTTCCTTTATGATTTACTCACTGTGATTAAAAGTACACAATAATATAATTGGTCCTTTGCCAAAATAATTTGACACTGGAACACGGCACATACACCATACCAACGACGTGGTTTACTTACCAATTGGCCAAATGTATTTCAGTAATAACTTTAACACAATAATAATATGATTTTTATGATAATATCAAAATATTAGGAAATTCGTCAAGACGTAATCAACATGTATTTCGTTGTCCTTAAGTGCGACACTCCAGACTACCTCGACTCATATAAATATTAGGATCGGAACATCGAAGGTATCAGTCGTCAGTCGTCCGTCAGTCTAACATCATATCAAAAGTTATACATATCCGCACCATTTCAAAATGAGCATCAAAATGGTAACTATAATTAATTTTATCTTATGGAGGATAAAGGTAATTTTAAACTTTTCAAGCATATCACGTCAAAATCAACGGGTCAACGATAATCACATAGGGATTTCTAGGGATGGGAAAAGACGGTAAAAAAAAGTAAGCCTGGGCATTAACGAGTTAATAAGTTAAAAGTTAAGTTAAAGGTTAGGTTAATTTAACTTATTAACTTACCTTTTTTTATTACTGATAATTTAACTTAACTCATTTTCTTACAAATTAACTTGAAATTAACGAATTATTTTTTCATTTATCCCGATTAAGTTAATTTTGATCTTCAAGACCAGAAAAATATTTTTGTAATATACCGCATTCCATAACAAATTTATGGCATTTAGAAAAATTTAAAAATATAAATTTACTTATATCAGCGTTTAATTTAAATATATTTTTTTTTTTTTTGTAATTAACTTAACTTATTAATTGAAGTTAAGTTAACGATGTTCTTTAACTTAATTGATGTAATTCTCATCTGCATTAACTTAATTGAACATGAACTCAAATAACTTAACTGAGTTAAAAAATATCTTATTAACTTGCCCAGCCTCGAAAAAAAGTATTGTTATTATCATAATAAATCGATATATTTTTCGACTTGAAAACCTATACTACTTTGTACTACTAATCAGCCCACTATAGAAATGCATAGTATTTCCTAAAAAAAAAAAAAAAATCGTCTACGTAGCTGATAATTAAATTACTTACCTTAAGGTTTTAATATGAATTGATTGTCTTACTCATTTATTTTTTGTCGTATCTATTTTATTATAAAACGCAATTGCATATTCAAGTTAGAATGAAAAACTTTCTGGGCAGGGGACACCAATCACGGGTCGTTTGTGCTCTGCTTCGCTAGTGTACGACGCGAACGGTCCATTTTCCATTACTAATCTATGCCCGTTTTGTATTATATTAATCAACGAATTTCGTAATTGATAATAATAATATTACGTGTTTATTTATCTCGCAGTCGTTATTCGCGCTTGTCGCATGTTCTCTCGCAGTCGTCTCCGTCGCCGCACCGTCTGGGTTGCCTTTAGCGTTTTCGTCTCCGATCGTCGCACCCGCACCCGTGGTCACCGCGTACAGTTCGCAGTACGTGGCGAGGAACTACAACGGGATCGCCGTCGCACCAGCCGTCGTCCCGTCCGCAGCTTACTACGGATACCCTCAAGTTTACGCACCCGCCGCGTCCTACACTGCAGGGTTACCTTTGGTCGAGGACTATCTCTTCAAATAACTTAGTGACTCTAAGTATTTAATACGTCTTCGCCGGTTGTTCTTGCGGCCATTGAAAACACCGTCACCGTGCTTCTATTTTCTACTCTATCACACGATTACTCTTTGCAACATAATACATTATCAATGTAAAGAAAAAATAAATAAATTATAAAAATAAACTTAAAAAATATTAAATTTTAATTTGAAAAACATAATTTTTGTTTTCGTTTTATTTTATTCGTTTATACATTTAAGTATTGAATTTAAGTGCTGTATGATATCACAATATGGTACTTCTTTTTCGTATCTTCAAAACACGTACACAAAAGTGTATATAATATACATAACACTCCAATTCATAGTAATAGCATATTACATTTAAGTATGAAATTATAACATGTTTTATATTCTGATATAGAATTGCTACTTAAATACGTGTTCCAAAAATTACATACTCTTATACTGTCTTTGTTATATAACCCAAAAAGTTTTGCTTTACTGTTTAGATGAAGTAAAATTATGTGTGTATGAAGTCTCGTGCAAACTCTTGCAGCTTAAATACATTTATAACTCAACACAAGTTACATAACAATGTACATCAAAATACATAGAAAAGTTTAAATTGTTTGAGTTTAATGTATAGTATAGTTTATAACAAGGATGACGAAGCTTTTTTGGGTCAAATGCTAAATTTTTCAATTAAGGTTTTGAATATCGTCCACGCACCTAAAGTATTTGTATTTTATCATCGTTTCTTTAAATTTATATGTGGATTTTACATAGTTAGCTGAAGTTTTTTATCTAGATAATTTTAGCTATTGTATAACATTGATTATTGATGTTATTTTTTTTTTTTTTTATAAATATTGATTTTTTTTCTTATAGCAAGTTTCATTACTTAATTTATATACATAACTATGATGACTTATAGCCAAAATTGATGGTTACCTTATTTTAAGTTATTTTATTCTTGACGTTAATTTTTAATAATTTTACAATATTGTATTATAATTTTAATTTACTTATCTGAAAGAGTTTGTGCGTAAAATACTTATACTTATGAAAATATGATCAAAATAGACTTAGAATTTTCAATAAATAAATTACTTTTATAGGAACAATTAATAACTGGAGGCTATAGGATTGTTTTATGTTTTATGTTTCATGAATTTTGCTGTATCTGAACATTAATTCATAGCTTTATTTACTTTGCTCATAATTATACGTGTAAATATATATGTAATATAAACACGTAGTAGGTACTGAATAAAATAATACACCAAAATCAAATTTTTTTTAATACTGTATGAGTACTAATGTAATTTATTATTTCATAATTTTATCTGTCTATATCTAGATAATTGTTTATTATTAAGGCACAGCACTGTCAATAATATAATATAGAAACTTGGGTTTTTTTTTTTCAGTTCCACATTGTGTGTTGCGATTATTTTGAATTGATTCATACGTCAGTTTTATGTTTATCTTGTTCATAGGGGATTCACCATACAGCGAATTGATCACCGGTCGCCAGCGAAATGATTTAATTAAGTCCACTTTGCACGTCTATAAATGGCTTAATACAATCATCTTACTCCTTTGGAAAAAAATTAGTACGTGTTGTAGTGGTGCAGGACTAGTTGCCTATGCATTAGACATTACGGAAAATGTTATGTTGTATTACATTAACTACACGTTCAAACTTATGCGCTGCTTAATTATTCGAATAACCTACCACTCGCAATAAGGTAATAATTATTTTAGATAGAGATTTTTATGAGCCATTTGTTTGTACGCGAAAATGAAACGTAACGGTCTTGCGATGTTTATTGAAGATCGATTCAAAACTACCGAGTTTATGATGATGGGGATGTTTCAAAGTTAAATTTATTTATTGAAATAATTATTTAATTAAACCTAAAATCCATTAAATAGAAAAAAACTGTTATGTTTATGAAACCGTGAGTAATTGATAGGAACTAATTTGTATGCATAATAATTTGTTAATGGTTAGACGGTTATGCGTGGATTTCATACACATGAATAATTTGTTATTTAATAAACTTACAATTTAAGTTTATGATAAATTAAACAATTTTTATATCATTGTAGGTAAATTTATTTTAGAATAACTTAACTCAAAATATTCTTAGATGGGCACACAAAATTTGAAAAAGACAAACAATCGTAACCAAATTTAAGGTATTCATTAGGAATCGTTTTAAAAGCTTGAAACTTTTAAGTTCGATTTTATTTTTTAAAAAATTGCTCATTTATTTATACATATTACATATAAAATCTAAGACAAATAACTATAATACAGTAAACAAAACGAGACCAGCCCTTCTAGCTCAACACCCGGCTCACCAGATTTTTTATAGTTATTGACAACGGTGGAATTATATGGATTTATTGTAATGTTGCATGTGATATATATATATATATATATTTTAATGTTATTCGCTTTGATAGAATACTAATAAAAGATAGAAAAAAACTATAAACATTGAAATGATTCTATTTAATTGTACTTACACATTTATTGTTAAATAATTACACAATCATTTTTGTTTAATCATAGATTTATACAAGGACAGTTTAATAAATAATTTATATTCAAACTTATGCATATACATATATGTTTGATAACGATCGCCGATAACATACGTTGAACACACTCAAGAAAGGAACTTGAAATCATCGTCTGATTTTGTTCTTATTGCAGCCGGTGCCGAGTTGTTGATAAGCGATCGAGAAACCAATATCTCTTTCTCTTACAGTCACACTGTCCGTGTGGAATCTGACTATGATCGGTCCGGACGCATAAGCTGAAACATCAAATTGTATTGCTTGTATAAATTCTAAAACAATGTAATGTACAGTTTTTTTTTTTTATTTACTCGTCGAGACTATTGTACGAGTCTAATACGAAATATTTTATTAATAAATAACTACGAAAATGATGCAGTTTTTCGTGATTTTGGTAGAGTTTTTTTCAAAATTTGAAAATTAAAATGCTTATAAAAATAAGTTCTACCCGTGCATTATCGATACAAGTATTTGTACATTTAAGTAAGGCCAACTTATGAGGAGTATGAGTTTTATGATAATAAACGATTGTTGTATAATATAATTTTCGAGTGTTGAAATCGTAAATTATTAGTGTTACCAAGCTATCGATTAGAATTTAAAAATTCGCATGTATTCTTCAGACGAAAAACGTTATTCGGACTCTCGACGAGAACGCAACGGAAATGTTCGCAAACATCGCGCATATTACACACATTAACACGTTCGCGCGGTGTACGTTTTTGGAGTTCACGTATACGTTAATAGAACGAGGGTATAGGTATATTCAGTGCTGGATCGAGGGAGGAGGATCTCTGTAATCCTGGGCCGCTCGTTGAAAGTGACCACAATGTGTTTTATAGTCGTTGGCTAACAAACATAAAGTAATTACGATCATACCAAAATGTTCAATGGAAAAATAAAATTGTTTTAGGCAAAAGGGCCTTAACAAAAATAACAGCCCACCCCCCTTATATTTCGGCTGACAGTCATAACACTCACTCGTAACCGGTGTCGCGATCGTGTTGTTGTCCTGGGCGCCGAGCGGATCGTTTATTTTGATTTTCTCCGCGAACTCTTGAATGGCGAGACCGGACAGACTGCGGCCGCAGAATTTTTCCGCCGTCGGCGTGTACACCTCCACGTTTCCCGTGGTCGCGAAGATTTCTTCGCCGATGTCCAACATGCCACCGGGGATGTGCAAGTAATCGTGTGTCACGAGATCGCAGCTCACTTCTCCTGCCCGTCCAATGCCTTCCTCGAGCGACGCGCCTGCCAGAGCAAATAATTGTCGTAAAAATATTGTCGTACATAATGCATAGACTATCATCATAGTGCACCTCGGGACACGTTTATCAATACTATTTCGACTAAATATTATATATTTTTGTGAAAAATAAGCCAAATTAAAAAAATTCCTGACTCGGAGGTCGGGATCCGATGAAATAGAAATAGGTATTGTTAGGTATTCGGTAACTGACTCATGGGGCCTTCTCGCTCGTAAATGATGAGTTATATATTTTAGATCTATACAAGCCCAATAACGCACTCACTGAAATCACTCACTAAATCAAGAATAAATCAATAAAAATCTTCAAAATTATTATTAAATTTATTTAACTTATGAGTCACAATAATTTTTACTTTATACAAATTTTACGGAGAGGCTTAAAACTCAAATTAAGAATTTTGAGTTGGGGAAGAACATCGTAACATCACTCTGTTTGTTGCCAATGATTCTTATATCTTGTAATAAAAATAACGTAGTGAAGGCAATCCTGATAGACGAGTGACATGTGAGTTTTCAACCGAAAAAAATTTGATTTCTTTTTTTCGCTTAACGAATAATTTTTTTTAGTCTTGTCTCCCAAAATAGAATCGTAAACCCAACGAACGTAAGTTTTTTCTTCCTAAACCTAATTTTCCGAAAGAGATGTTGGACCCATACGTTGATATATTTCAGCCGCAATAATATTATGTCACTAGGTGAGCAGTTCTTAAATTATCCTCAGAAGTATTACAGTACAAACATATCGCGTGATCCCAAACTCAACGGTTGAAATACGCGTTCGTTCCGTATTGTTATACAATATACACGTAAAAACGTTGTACGACTTGTTTTTTGTTCTTAAATCGTTGTGTAATATCAGATATACGTACGGAAAGTATTGGAGCAGGACGCGCATTGTGAAGTTGTGTTTTCCACAACTCGTCGGAAATCGTTACAGAACGCACGTGGATACAGTGATTACAAGAGCATTATTACATTTTACGAGCTGTGACGTGAAGCGTTATACTCGACGAATAATCACCAAGTGAAGGAAATATTATGTCATGTTATTTAGATGAAAATCGAAATTCAAATGAGAAATTCCAGCGATCGATCAGAGTGGAGATGGAACTTTTGTACGTGGTCGCGACGGAACATACCAAGTAACATTAATCGACGAAGTCGTAAATGAATTCACTTCGTGAACGGGAGCGTACAATACGTTATGTGGTTTCTGGGCGAGAAAATGTTAAAAAGTCGGATTTCCGATTACCGTGACGGGTAAACGAAGTGCATGCAGAAGTTTCGGTACGCGGTAAAAGGTATGTATTGTCTTGCCCGCCGTGGGAAGCACACGATCTGGCTTCTCGAAAGTTTTGAATTTTTCCGACCGCCGCGAGTGTGGTTGCAACCGGCCCGTTAGTTCTTGTTACATCATTGGTTTCCGTTTAACCGTACATCGTTTCGCTGTATAACCGCATATTATTAAATTATAGTCCCGAAGTGCATAACACCATGATGGTGTTGCACGCGGCCGGCGCGTGTGCGCGCGATACGAGAGAAATCTGAGTGCTCGTGGGAGATCTGCAGCGGTTTCGTGTTGCGGCTGGTCTCGGAAATGTATAAAATGAACATTTTAACGTGCAGGCGAACGTCGGATACTCCTCACATTGTGTTGTATAGTGTTTATGCGTTTATTATAGCTTTACCGGTAGCGCGAGTTACGCGTTATGTGTGAACGTACGACGTCGGTTGCATATATTGTACAGAACGTGAGCTGTTAACGGGTCGGCGGAGAACATTAGTATACTCCCTCGCCGCAACTCGCTCCCTAATAGGCATCGTTTTTAATCCGACCTTCAATCGAGTAAATATCAATAATTCGTATTGGAAATGTCCTTGATTTAATTAAAAATTAGGTCAGTAATGACTGTTTTTTTTTTTCAATGATCATAATTACAATCCAATTGCTACATATTTTCGAACTCCAACCGTACCGATATGCCATGGGCTAATATTTAATGTAAAATACAAATCAACTCATTTTTTTTATTCTATTTTCGTAACGAAATATTATATTAAGAGAAGGGATGACGGTGCCTGTAATAAAAGCTGATATACATATATATATATATATATAGGTATTTCGAACGAAAATTTAACAAATTGTTTATTATTATATTTTAGTTAATTCGACTGGTTTTAATTAATAAGTGATTCCTTATCAGCGCATGTCAATGATCAAAATATACACGGAATAATTGATTTTTTTTTTCGTAATAAACAATCATTTTTTAATTTAAAATTGTAAGAAACATAATTACGTTAGATCATAGAAGATAGATACATAGCTTATATTGTCACCAAGCTGTTAACAAGTTTAATATCTTAATAATTTTTGGTAAACTAACTATAACCCAATTTATCTGGTAAAATGGTGATATTTTTACTCGAAAACAATGGAGGGACGTCACATTTTTTGTACACTATTTAATAACAGTCGTCAGTTCTGATGATTCCATTCTAGTATACGACTTTTCATCCCAGCACTTTTGAGTGCTCAATGGTGACTAACCTGTTGTATTGGAATTTTAGAGTTAGGCCAAGCAAGTATTTTATTTAATGGTTTGATTTTCGCTACGGCTTTGGGACGAATTTATTAAGTTTAATTCGTTAAATTAAATTAAACTCGAAAATGTGGGGGGTGGGGGAAGAAAACACAAAAACCATTCGCCTGCATCGGATGGTATTTGAAAACACGACAAAACGAAATGTTTTCCTCGAGTGGAGGAAACGTAATATTTTTCTTGCAGTGAAACAGTTTTTGCGAAGAGCAACAACTAAAAGTCCGTGCTGGCTGTAGTCGCGGTACTTGTGGTCATGATTTGAACGAGTTATGGTATACGGTAATAATAACTTATTATATAGGGCCTGGCAATGATGAAATCCCAAGAAAAAGACGATATTGCGCGAGTACGTTATCGTCTACGGGTACGGAATGATTCCGGTTTACGATTACTGACCTTCCATTGAGTTGATGCCGAACGTGGAGCCGGGCACCTGCTGGAATTCGACCCGGCAAGTGTTCACGGACCGTTTGATGCATACTGCGTAGTCTAGTCCCGATTGGTACATACCACCTGCGTAGTTGAAGCTCTGTATGGTGCCACTGAGGCTGGTGTGATATTGCAGACATCCGGTAGGTGCTAAACGGGCACAGGTATTATTATTATTGTTATTCTAATTTCGACTCGGGATCTCGTGATGTGGGCAACGCTGCGTTTCGGAACGGGTTACATTATCATAATATGCTGTTGTACACGCAGAGGTGCGTGTAATACACTCGTAGTGCGCTTGTGATTTACAATGTAACGAATTAAAACGACGACATTGCGAAAAGGCTCGTCGAGCGTGACGGTGCGAGTATAAGTTGCAATGCACAAACATTGAACGCCAAATCATTGTGTGCTATAATATAATATTAAAACAGATGTGTGGGTACTGTCAACATTAATATTAGATAAGCGTTTGTGCGTTTGAATCGAGCGTTACGCGTATAGTTGGTACGTAGTAATGAATAATTTCAGTGATTTTGGTTTCAAAGATTAAAAATAAATAAAAATCTAATCGACTATAATACAATTTTCGGTTTTAATTGATCTTACTAAATAGTATAATACACCTTTTTGTAGAACTTCATTGATTCACAAAACTATCGACAATGATTTTGCAGAACATTAACTTTATACTAATTATGTTTTCATCGATTCAGGCCCGCATACGCAGTTTTCAAAAAAAAAAAATCGTGGTTTATGATTAAAAATGTGATATGTTAAACAGATTTCAACACTCACCGACGGATTGAGGATCAGCAGTGCAATCGATTTGGGTAATGCGTACCTTCCATACGTATCGGGAAGACAGTGACGTCATCATCATGAGCGATACGGATGAGCCACCAGCCTTAGGGTCTACCGGGAAATACACTAAGTAAAAAAAAAAACAAAAAAAAAAATCATCATTTTTTACTAATAGAAAACATTTGTTATTGTGCTAGGAATTATATTTTAATTCAAAATCATAAAATTTTTAGAAAATTAACATGACGTCCAGTCGTTAAAAATAATTAAACGGGAACAAGAAAACAATTTTTCATGCGATAGATCACGTATACGATTTGGATATTCAGTGCAATTACTCTGGTACAAGTTGGTTGTATTACATGCAGGTGAATTAAAATCGAGGGCAAGAAAAGAACCAATTATTCAGATGTATTAGAAGTAAATTGCGTACAGTGTTGACCGCTGTTATTTCCGCATAATTCGGTTATTCCAATGCCATTTGGTAGTGTAGTAGATATAATAAGACGGTCCTGTCGACAACTGCCTAAGTACTTGTGTGGTCCTCTCAAGGAAAACTCTTCCAAATCCAGTCTGGAATATCAAAACGATAGTGTGTCATTAATATTAACAATGTAATTTTAATCAAAACTCTGTTCGTGCAATGTCTTAACAAAAAGTTTACCGAACCAAAATTACGAGTACAACTTAAACATATTCACTAAAGACGAATGTTAATTAAAATAAATAATTTTAACTCAATAAATATTAATGGGCTGTATTATTAGTATAAGAAAAACGTTTTGTTGACTTTCAAATGAATAATATGAAAACCAAAGACATTTATTTGTATTTTCATAACGCAAAAGCAACGGAAAACAAATTATAGCTATATTAAATATAACCGGTTACAAAAAAAAAAAAATATGTTATCTAAAAACGATCAGCCAGGTATGATTATTATACATTTTTTTTTTCCATGATGCGTAAAATTAAAATACGATTTTTGGTTCGATTTTACAATTTGTTTGAATATGTTCTAGAAATGGAAATAGCTAAAGCTGAATAAATAAATAATTTATGAAAGCAGAAATAAATCAAACATTTTGAAGTTTTAAATAATTTATAAATACAAATATGATATATTGGAGTTTGCAATTAATTTAATTTCTTACCTTAGTTGACACACATTTCTGTTTTTGATGTCCACCCGGAAGTCACAAAAAGAAGAGTCCCAGTCTTCACTTGGATAGCTAGGGTTGACAAAATACGATACGGGGTCATCAGTAGCATTGTGGCAACTCTTTTCTGTAATAAGTCAAAGTTGATTAACCTCAGTTGGTTACGAGAAATGTGGTTTATAATATGTACAGCGTTGATAAAAGAAAAAAAACGAGTTTTACGTTTCGAAATAATTATTACTTCGTACGTATCATTTTCAGAATATAGACAGTTTTCTGTATCTGCACAGTGAGTACAATACAATATAGTATATATATATTTATACCTGTATATATCGTATAACAGGCATACATTTTTAATTACAATTGTTAAAACAATCAATTAATTTTAGAATTCTGATGAGAAATTCATTAATATGCTTCAGCGTATTGTTTCCCAATTACGGTAATTTATTCAAAATTCAAACACGAGAGATGTAATTAAAAAATGTTTAGAGTGAGATCCCATTGTGAATCTCCCAATAACAAAGAATTTTTCATAATGGAAATTTAAAATGTACTACGGAAACAATATGATCTGTTTATTTGGTAGGAATTATAACAGAGGCGGCCAAAATTTTTTCGGCCATGATCTACTAAAAATGTACTTCACCTTTAAAGATCGACTTTCTTGGGAAAATGTTTTTATTATTAAATAATTATAATCATTAAGAAACATACTTGCTTAAAGTGTACATAAATATACATAAAGTATTATAAACTAATTACTAATTACTAAAAATAATAAAATAATTTCTAAAATCTAAATACTGTCTAATTACATATTAATATTTATTTTGTTAATCTGGGCATTGTTAAGGTGCACGTGGCCAAAAAATAAATTCTAACATGATCGATTCTGAAATCGTCCGCGATCGACCGTTTGGCCGCCCCTGAATTATAATATAGATATAATCTACGTATTTGGTAAAGATTTGCAGTGGATTTTAAATACAAGACTTAAAGAATTTAAGTAGCTAAAAGTGTTTTTGTTTATATACAGTAAACAATAGTTGATATTTTCCAAAGAATTTTTGTCTATTGGAAATATAGTAATGTGTTTTGTATTCAATTGTTGGTGAACTTTCCAATTGCTGTTGTGAAGTAGAAAAATGTTGTTTAGTAGCCACCAAAAGTGAGAACAATAATAAAATAATAAAAGAATAACATTCGCTAATTTTTTTTCCAATATAATCACAATTATACCATTATTTCATACTTATAGCCCATGATTTATTTATTTTTTAAATCCTCATACCGAATTTTAATAAAAAATTCTTTGACAATTTAAAGTTAACCAAGTCATATAGAAATATTTCACAGATACACCAGGCATTAAGCATATCATTTTATGTATAGAAATAGTAGAAGCAACGTTATGTTTTGGGTTGGTTCAATGATTTCACAGGTGGATAAATTGTATATCATGTGCCGATAATTTCATATAATTTTTTCATTTATAAATCTAATGTTTGTTAATCAAATAAGAAAATAGTGGTATGGATAATTTTATATGGAGAATCTAATTTATTATCTAGTGTTATATCAATAACTTAAGTGAATAGACGTGACATTTTGAAACGTGAAAAAAATGTATTTTAAATCTAACATGTTCATTAAGTTCAACGGTTTTTTTTTTAACAATCAATTGAGCATGTAGGTTTTTAATTTGTGTTTTATTATTACATAATAATAATACCTGCTATGGCGTACCGGCAACAATCTTTGATATTGGCTGGACACTTCTCCTTGCACTTTTCCGCTCGTTTTTCATTGATCGTACTCTTCAAGTTGCTGTTACTAACATCCGCCACCACGGCCCTCGTTTTTAATACCTCGTCTTCCGTTAGTGAAGCCGACTTATTCGTGGCGTGTTTAGGCATGGGCCCCAATATGCTGTCGCTCGACGGTCTAGGCGCCACCCTCGTCGACGCTACATTGCTGGACTTGGCAAACTGATCTGATTTAAATAGATTCTGATATAACAGGTCTGAAATTATAGCGTACACAGTACAGGTATATAATACGGTGACGTATGCGGATCTGTGAGACGGATTGGCTGAAAAACGTTCGGCCCGAAAAAACGACTCGTCACCGAATATAGTACACGTTGTACTGTGTAACAATGGTGTGGTATGTTACAGTACATCGTTCGGATTTCCAAATGTATTTAAAACGGATTTAGTTTTTTATAGTTTAGGTTAAATTGTGTTAAATTACGTGTTTCTATGTGAGTACTTAATTACCGTAGAAGTAAAAAAAAAATTGACAACGTTAAAAAAATAAGAGTTACGGAATGCCGTATCTAATACCTAATAAAAAATATATGACGCGCATTAGCGATACCATGTTGATTGACGACAGGAAAAAACATATACAAAATGGTTTAATTATTCTAGATAACTACGTCGTAACTGTATATATATTTCGGTATAAATCAGTTTTCAAATACAAGAATACCGATCGCTCAATACATATATCTATTTTGATAGAAAAATAATTGGACACATCGACATAATGTTAAGAATGAATTGACGCGATGTGGAGTTTTTCATATTTTTATAGTTTTGGTAAAACCGTATTGCACACATCTCTTATCTCACCATTCGTCAGAGTAGTAACATAACATCCGTAAACGGATGACAAGTCAGTTTATTGTTTTCATTCATACATGCATATTAAATAAAACTTATCATATGGATTATACTTATGGCGAAAGTCGTTTTACCGGAGAAAAATCATGCAGCTATTTTAACCTGAAAATCTAAGTATGTGGACATGTGGTCATCAGAAGAGATTCGGCATTGTATTTTATGGCACACTGAGCCCTAAAAGAATTATGGGTGAATGTAATTTCGAAATCTCGGACGTTTGGCAGCTGATAGTACATGAATGTGACCAAGAAATTTTAAAACAAACTTTGATAAGAAGATGCAATAATTGCATCAAATGTAAAAACAGTGTATTGAGAAAAATATTGTTTTTGTGATTACTGGGTGGTATTACCTAATTTTGAACAGCCAACTGAAAAAAATCGCCTTTAATGGTCACTGCACAACGGTTATGGAGAAGATAAATTACATACAAAAATGCCACAGCGTCGTTATTAATATAGAATTCAATAAACTAAACCTGCGATTGTTTACGTTTTTCTTTTTGAAATTTGAACTTATCGATTATCGATACAATTCCGTTGCGCGCGCGCATACGATTATAATATTGTTAAAACATAGTTTTCGACCGTATTAACATAATATTCCGGGTCGAAGAGTTTTCAAAAACAAAACGTACCAGCCGTGTTGAGTTTTTTAACACAGTAATCGTCGTTGTAAATGTTTAGTGAAAATAATTATAATAATAATAACAAAATACTGTATGTACTGCAGTGACGTCCGGAGTTCCGTACTTACTTTTGTCGTTCCTCAGTTGCTCATCCACTTTTATACCGGTCACACAACACCAACAAACCAACACCACCACTAGCAGGGTAAGTTTATTGATACGTATCATGTTTGGAGCTTCGGTGCTCAACCGTCTACAGCGCGAAAACATCTGATCGTTTCCGTAAGACGATTTCGTCTTATATACATCGACCCAAATACGTGCGCGCGGTATTCGTCAGCGTTTTTTAATTAATCGTTGTTATTATTCGGCTGCGGACTCCCCTCGGCGCATCTCTCAAAGGATCATTAAACTTTTCTCTTTCCGGACCGTTAAAAATCAATTGTTCAAAAGGTAATTATTGTCGTTATTATGACAACTATTACTATTACTTTATACCATTATCGTGCGAGCCGCACGAACAGTTTGTCGCCACCTTGTCATACCGCAAGCGCAATTCACCTTAATGTGCTCATGCATGGTAAGATTATGCTGCTGCTGCTACAACGATCTGAACTGCACACACTGATACATGGTGTATAGCGATTTTTTTTTTTTTTAGGAAAAAAATACTCAAACGTTAAATCACAAAATATTATTATATTATAGTATTATAGTTAGATTGTTATAATGCGGCATGCATATATAAATATGTAATATATGTTAAATAAAAATGATAAAATTTGTATATAAGGACTGTAGTATAGTATAATATATAAATGTATTTGAACCATAACGGCGTAGGATTTTATATTTTCATCAAACGATTTTCATGTCAAATTTGAAGCAACATTCGTCATCGGACTTAGCTTCGGGTTCACCGTCCCAGAACTTCAACTTAACCGTGTAACTACTCTTGGGATAGTTTTCCGACACATACAGATTGTATAACCAAGACCGTTCGACTTGAGCCACCATGGGACATTGCGTATATAAGCACGCGTTCGTGTCCATATCCATAAATGGCAAATCCACCAACAAGGTTGACGCGTACAATCTAGTTATGGGAATCTCTGTAGTGAAATCTGAAATTGTATTATAAATTTATTAAAATATTTACAAGACATAGAAGATGGCAACATTTCATTATAGAGTTAAATATATTGTATTTATGATTGTGTGTACCAATGGGCCTATTTTGTACGCCGTGGGGGTAAAACTCTTATTTTCCCCCGCATAATATTACGTCAGTATGGAAATCGTTCGTATATTGTATGAAGTAAACCCTCGGAAATTTCAAGCAAAAAGAGTTTCGCACAACGTTATTATTTAATCATAAATAATACTCTACTTTAATTCTTTAATTTGATTTTTCATTATTTTTAAAGTATATCAAAAGAAAATAATCCAGCTTGACATTGTATTTTTTTTTAGAATTTTTCAGAAGTATGCAAAGGTTCACAGGTTGGTCATTCCTGTTACGTAGTATTATAATTATTTTTTGAAATTTGAAAGGTCCTTTAAATATTGGTAAGTAATATTTTAATGATATTTCTGGGAGGAGAAATTAATTTTCTAATTTTAAATTGAATATGAATAGTCGTTTTCGTAAAACGATTGACTTCATCGACATTCAAACTCTAAATATTTGTAACCAATTTTTTTTTCAATCACATAATATATATATAATATATAAATACCCATAAAATTAAATTCGAATTTCAGGTTTCTTGCATCGAGTTTAAAATTTCAAATTTAATACAGATCAATTTAATTTCCTTACAGTAAATTTAACAGCTTTCGTATAAATATTAGAAGTGGGTTTTAAATTATGTAAGAAAATTATTTATCTTAGAATATGAAATAGACAAAATCATTTATGTTTTCTTACAGAAATGAAGTATAAAATTGTAAAGCATATCATTATAATACAAATATGTGATTAGCTTTCCTCAGAATTTTAAATCTACAGAACATAACTCCACAGATTATTTAAATTTATTTGTATTATAATTTAAATTTATAAATAGAGAAAAAACGAAGCTGATGATTAGTACAATTTGTTTTATTTTATTCAATTTATTCCAGTAACTTAATAATTTCACAATAGCACACTCACAATATAGTCCCTTATAAGTATAGTTATTGATACTGTAATATTGGATACTTGAAATTATGTATAGATCAACCAACAATACATAGACAATAAACCCAACGAGCGGTTCACACAGTCCACTATAGCATTTTGATTCGCATCCGGGCATATCGATGAAGGAATGTCGGCGGATGTACTGCAGTCATTATACAACTATGTTCTATTAACTAAGTATGTTTTCTATTCAAATTACTATTCAATGAAAATTGTGTCAGTGTATGTTTTTTTTAGTCATCTCTTAAAGACTACTTAATATTGGTTAGATGACACTAATAATTTGCGTAATATTAATTAGGAATATCATTTTTCGTTAAACTTTTCCAAATAATAGATTCACAATTAAGTAATAATAATTACAACTACTTTTATTTGATTTTTTTAAACTCATATCTCAATTGGAACCCAACGACTGTCAAATATTAAACATATTTTCTTAATTTTCTCGTTAAAGCTATTACTATAGCTATATGTATCTATTTATAAGAATTTATTGTTAAATTTTAAATTGTTTAAAATTGTGTTAATGAGTTATAGAATCAGTGGGATTATTAACGTTTAATATTTAATCATGTGAGAAATTGAATAGAAAATAATTTCAGTAGGAACATTATAATAGAACTATCTAAGTAACAATTAATTTAGATTTCCCTTTCGGATTTCGACTTGTACAATTTTTTAAAATACAAATACATAATTTTATATACTCGTAAAAACACTTAAAACACTTTAAAGGTCCTTAAAAATTAATAATAATAAAAAAAAAAACGGGTTAGATACTACTGAGTTTTAATTATAAGTATGTTACTTGTGTAAATTTTTTTTAAATAATTCCCAGCCGTTTTCATCGATGTGATGTAACATTCAACCATTTAGATAAAAATATTGTACGGATCAAAAATAAAATAAATATTTGACTATATTTGTGTGAGTAATCAAACTTGTTATACTTCAAGTATTAGACACTTTATCAAAAGAAAAAAGAAATAAATATTTTTTAAAAACTTCAGATTTAACGATTTATATAAGATATACTTTTTTAAAGTATTTTTTTATTGTTTACTCTCTTAGATAAATACGAATCAGGGCTCGGAACCTTTATGATTTTTTCGCTTTCGGTTCAAATTAGGTTCTTCAAAAAAAAAAAAGAAATTCGGTACCGGTTTTGGTTTTGATTCTCACAAATTACAGAATTAAATACTAGTATACTAGTATATTTCTTGTTTCGATCATATTAATCAATTGATTGATAATGAAGTATATTGAGTAAATGCATATGAATTATTATTTAATACAATTTACCTTGATTTTAGTCCTCTAAAGTAATTAGAATAATTTTCTTAAATACAATAATCATTTTACATTTGTTATGTCAATAAAATAAGAAACAAGCTTATTACCCGAAATATTTTATGTTTATAGCATATAAAAGTAGTCTTTTGTATGAATTAATGCATTATCATGTAAATATCTGAATTATTGTAAAATAAATTTCATATACAGGCTTATATTGTATAATGTCTGTTGAGCTAACCAATAAACCAATAAATAATTATCAATACGAATACGTCATATTACATGTATTTAATAATGTACCTATAAGTAGACTCGTATATAGTTATATAAACGTATATGTAGAGAATTTTATCACAAAAAACAATACCACACGCTTATTAGTTGTGTTCATAGTTATCTACAGAAGATCTGAATAATAAATTGAATTATACTCTTGTACAGATAATAGTTTAAGAAATCAGATTTAAAATTTGTTTATAGTTACCTTGATATAAGTGTTATTAATAGTTGATAGTATTAAGTGTTATTATAAGTGTTATTAATTGAGAGTTTAGAGTTCTATATTCAAATACAGAGAAAATCTTAAATCGAAAACTAATCATTTTGTTTTTTTCTGATATTATACATAAGTATTTATTTAAGTACTTAACAGTTAAGTAACTAGTATTGAAAAATGTATAAGAGGCAATTAATATCTAATCGAAGTTTATTTAATATATTTTAATAATTGTTAGAATTTAATTTAGAAATAGAGGCTTAATTCAAAGGAAAAGAAAATCAATAATCATTCAACTAATCTTAAGCAATCATTTATATCATTTATTTATAATATATATTATTTTATTTTAATTAATAGTTATTTGTTTAAAAACGCTGTTATTGTCATTGCATTATTTTTCGAATTCTTAGATAATCAACTTGAAAATAATGTCCTGTATAATTGTTTAGAATCAGCAATATAAATAATATACAAATAATTACATATACGTTACATATACGTTCATTAACAAGGTCAAAATGAAATTTTTGTTTTATGCAAATATATTATGTATCACTTATAACAATATTCTATTGATAATACAGTTTGATTATAATGCATTAAAATTAAACATTTAATACCTCTTTTCAAATATTTAAATATATTAAATGGTATTTAAAATATAAATAACATATTCAATTTAATATAAAATTTAAAAATTGAACCTATTGGTAGGAAAAAACAATAGTATAAAATAGAATAACCTTTATTATTAACATAATTAAATATATACATTTAATAAAATTATTATATTTGTTATTATTATTATATTTGTTGAAAGTTGTCATAACATTTTAATCGCTTGAATTTTAGCTACCTACTAATCGAGGTTTTGTTACCATTTAGTCGTAGACAAATTTATAATGTTCATTGCTAGAATTTTATGCATTTGCTTATTTTATTTTTTTGTGTTCAACATTTTCTTATTTTTATTATATGATTTAAAAAATCTTTTTTTAAATAAAAATCTATATGTTTTTTAAAAAAAAACTATCTTTATATATTAACTTAAACTTATTTGGAATTTTTTTCTCAATAGAAAAATATAAAAATCTTATAAATAAAATTAGATTATAAAAAGTTTATTACTTATTAAATTATTTATTATTAAGAAATGTATTTAATTTAATAATTATTTTTAAACTCTATTTTTTAAAATATTTTATAACTATTGAAAATGCATGTGTCAATATATAATTTAGTATTGCTGAAATGCTTAGTTATATATATTAGTTATAGTTATAATTATAATTATATTTGTTATATTATTAGTAATGTAAATACATTCAAAATTTTAAACACATCAAGTTCCAGATAACAAAACAAAAACCTATTAACACTTTAAATAAATAATATATAAATACCGATTATATTTGGTAATTAAAAGATTTAAATATTTATTCCAATCATTTTAAAAAATCTTATAAAATCATAACCAACGTCATTATGCAGTAAAATCCTTTTTTCAATACATTTATTATAAAATACATTTTTTCAATTTCATAATGCATATGAATTTTGTTTTTAATTTTTCGATAGTTAATATCAAGATTTACTAATAACTGTACTGATGGGAAAAATTAATTTAAACTTTTGAAAATATTTTACTTTTTTTTTACATCATTGTTAATCATTAAACATATATTAACAACAAAGCATAAGGAACAAAATCTTTAAAACCGTAGCAACACCATAATCATGCATGTTGGTATTTATATTCATACATTTTTTTTTACATTTTATAAAATATGCATTTAATATTTTTGAACTAAACGTGAGATTAGATCACGCATGTAAAAATCGTTTGTCAAGGTTTATTGTTTAACATTTTTGATTTATTTTACATTTATAAACGATATTAATTTATAAATACATATAATATTTATACTTCTAAATAGAAAAGCAATGTTTTTTTCATCGAGGATTTTAATAGTGTAATATTGAAGTAATTATTATATACAAATGATTACATTATTCAATTGTGATCATTCATTAGTCATTAATATTTTTAATTTTTTAATTTGAGACTATAAACTTATGCGTAATAATAAATATGAGAAACGAGAGTGTATTTATCACAAAAATCTCTGATTTTTTTACGTGTAATATACTGTTGATGGTGGAATTTTTAAATTATTCCTTTCTTCGTTATTATTGCTATCACAATGATGTATAACATTTAAAATACACTTAATCGAATATTACCGATCGATATCGAATTTAATATACATAATATACAGTTTAAATATCGAATTTACTATAAATATCTTTAAGAGATATCATTTTTTTAAATTTCCATATAGAAATTTAAAGCATCAATAGTACTTATATGTTCGTTCTTATATCATTGATATTATATTTATGAAAATCTCTTTGACTATTAAAAATTAAGAACAATTATAAAATTACTAGTGGATGTTTACTAGATAACTTGAAATATATAAATAGTCAAAAGCACATAGAAATATGAACTCATAACTAATTTATTGACAGGTAGACATACGTAATGTTAGGTCAACCCATCGACTGATGGTAGTTATGTAAGGGTATCTGAATTGTCGGTTTTTATTATAGGGTAATATTTTCTTAAACTATGCAGATAATATCATGTGACCATAAAGTTTAATTACCATAATATTTAATGCTATCTGATTATTATGTAAAAAACAACAATGAAAGTATGAAATTGTCTACAAAACAATTAATAGCTGAATCAACGATTTAATTAATTTGGCACGAAACTTATTCAATATTTTCATACAATTAAGATTCCGTGATGGGTAAATCCATTATGTTGTTTTGAAAATTATTTAAGATACATTATTGGGTTACTGTAAATTGTACATTCAAATAGGTTTTTAAAAAAAAGTATCGACAACGGAAATAAATTTGAAAATGTATTGCCTTATGTAGTTTTAATTATATTTTCTATTTTTGATTTCAAAATGTTTTCGTCATTATTATATAATTTTATGTACCTACTATAAATATAAATTACCGAGCAAATTTTTTTCTAATTTAAATAAAGAAATAAAAAAATGCAAATATAATGTAATGATAATATTTTCGTAAGGCAAATGTCTTTTAAACATTAAAATAAGTTATTAAAATATTACAGAGATTTAAATGGAAAAACTGTACGTCGATCATTAAGGAAAAAACCTCTATACCTTTGTACAAGGTATATTGTACTTTCTTTATAATACGTGTATGCAATAATGCACATTGTACGTATTCTGCATAATGAATGCACTGTTGATTTTAGCTATTACTTGTATATTTATGTTTCCTGGTACCATACATTCACACAGGTATATTATAACATATTTTCGTATTTCCTATTATTATATCATACATTTGTATATGATCCTTCAAACAATATTTACGTACTAGATATATATTGAAATGATATTGACGCATTAATTCCTTGCGGTACTTCACATGGTTTATTGTCTAAAGCTTCGGGACACGGTTCAATAAACACATTGAATACACTACATTTTGCATCTAAAAATAATAAAACAATAATAATAATAAAAAAAAAAAAAGGCTTTAAATACGAGTAAATCATTTTTTCGACAATATTCACTTACTTCGACACATTCGGAAGTTCTTCACTTCTTCCGTAGTCACGGTACTACCAAAAATCAATGCTACTATTAATAAGACTAGGAAAGCCATTGTTTTTTAGAAGTTGCTCCGTATATGAGTGTGGACTACTGCGAGTAACGTATTATACTAAAGTAATCACAATATGAAATATGATTTTAGTGTAGTTGGTTTAGTATGAAAAACTTATCGAACCATGATAACCTACAGTAACGCTATCGCAAATAAGCATTCAGAAATACACAGTTCTATGTGACAACGACTAATTAGTGGGAGATATCATCACACATATATTTATCTTTTGTAAAAAATTATAGTAAATAATATTGTCTACAATTTATAAAAGTTTCAAATACTGGGTACTTTTTTTTATCTTAATTTGTTTGGTATTATTATTATTATTCAGTATTAGATGTCTAAAATATGTTTCAAGATTGAAGGTTTTCACTCCAGCTTTGCCAAAATAATTTAAGACTAACGTATATGGTATACAAATATAACTTATAATAACTATAACACAATAACAAAAATAAATCAGTCCAAAAAATGGGCATGGTAAATATGTCAGTATTGTTTGTAGATTTAAAAATATATTTGAATTTTACCAAATAGTTTTGAATGTGACTATTCAGATAATATTTCAAACGAGTTATTACTTTTTTGTAGATCTTTTTTGGTTTCCAGCCCCTTTCCCCCAAGTCATAACCAGTGTAAAATATTAATAGGTACTTTATAAAAAAAAAAAAAAATTAAAAAAATAGAACGTTTTGAAGTGAATAATATATAAGTAATAAAACACATTACCTTCGAAGAATTTAATATACATCATGCGTTATTTTGTTAATAAAATTTATAATTACTATATGTTTTATCATATAATTTTGTAAAAAATCCTTAAGTCCATATATTTAATTAAATAATAATAATAATAATCATATAACCTTTGTTTCAACTAAAATGATTAACCAGAAACTATAACTAGTATACCTACTTGTCTTGTCACTCCATAAAAGTACACCTTTATTACTTTTATAATAATATGTAGTGCACGGTAATATTTATATGCAACGTTCATTTCGGCGATCAACGGTTGTTTGCTTTTTCTGGTTTCATACCAGAATAATATTATTATTATTATATATCTACCTAATATAATAATATTATTTCATATGATATCTCATCAAGTTCTAGCACTTATTATTATTATTTGACTATTATTTAAATTATTTATTTATTAAACTAATACTTACTTATTACGGATATTATATTTAAATATTGTTGACGTATTAATATCTTAAGGTTTAAATATCTAGGTACCTATATCTTATATGATTTGTTTCTTAAAGCTTTGGGGCATGTTTCATATGAATATTTTATTTATAGTACCCGACTAAAAAAATATAAACATGACAATATGGAATCACCACGTATAGAAAATAGTTGTATTTTACATATTACTGTGTAGGCATAAGAATATTAGTGAAACGTTATTTGATTAATTTAAGAGAAATTACGTAGAAATATAATAGGTCCTACAAAATCTATAAGCATATGTGTGTTCCATCGCGAGTTTTAGGTGCATACACATTACAATATAGATACTGATCTTGATAAGCCACAGTATCACACATATATAATTTTTTTTACTTCCTTCAGCCGAAATATTATTTGATTATTTGTAATACTCTGTAAGGTCAGAAATCAGTTCTTCACAGTTCTTTGCTGAATATACTATGGCTGGTATCATTAGGAGACAAAGTCCATCCGTCCCGAGCGTTCGCAATCAAGACATCTCCGAGCGTATCTATGGTTTATTCTGATCGACTTATCGTTTTACTGTCTCCGTTCCCGTTTTGCGTAGTTCACGTAATTGACCGGAACTGCACACGATTATTATAATCATATGTCCACTGTACGGAGTATCGGCTAATTAACATAGAAATCCGGTTGTCACTGCGAGAATTCTCAAAAAGAATTCTAAAATTTAAATACCATGACTGCGTTTGTAGAGTTTTTGTCTCGTTTTATCTACCATCGCAACAATACCGTGGTCGGCTGAACTGGAGATTTTTCCGGCGCGTCTCCGGAACAACGCCTGTGAAACGTGGGCGTAGGGTGATATGTGTTTTTTATGATTATTATTAATATCTTATTATATTTTTCCCGGTAACCCTTTTTAACACTATACAGGGGCGTATTAAAGGTCAAAATATGTGGGGAGGGGGGGAAATAATTTTGCGCCCCTATGCATATTGATAAATAAATATGTAAGTAAGAATAAGAGAAAACAATTTTTACTCGCTTTTTATAAGTTTTAGTTCTTGGGTTTCTAATATGTTTATATGGTACCTTCAAAAATTTACCGTCCCATCAAAACTTCCACCAAAAGCAAACGTCCATTTTACTCCATTTTTAACGCGCCCCTGCCTATATAAGTACGATAATATGCAAAACTTTTAAAAACGTACTCGAAAGGTGTCATTAGAGATAACTATGAATGGAAACGGTGCAGTAAAAAAACACTAACAATAGACGTGTACGTAAATTGTCGGTATTTCTATACTCATTTTACTTTTCAGTGGGATTAAAATGTATTTTTTTTCGAAGCAACAGTTTTGCGGTCGACACATGGTAGGTACCAAATTAAGACCCGTAGTCCTAACCATTATCAATTACAGAGTTACGGCTAACCCAATAGGCGATTACACTAATTTTATTTCATATTTTTGACTTCAACGTTTTATTTACTCCGCCGTATCATTTATCCTAGACAAACTTTAGACGGTTTCGGATGGGTTCGCACTTAAATGCCCTTGGTAATCGACCTTGTCACTAGTAGCTGCGGTGTCCGAGTGGTTAAGGAGTTGGACTCGAAATCCAATGGGCTCTGCCCGCACAGGTTCGAATCCTGTCCGCAGCGCGACGAACATTTTTGCGGTTTTTCTCGCGCAGCTTTTCCTGCGGAAGTTCCGCGAACGCGCGGCCGCGACGACGAAACGTCGCACGTCCGCGCGCGACATTTTTCCCGTCCGGATCTCCACCCTGCGCGCACACGCCGGCCGACCGGGCGTGTTGCACGGTGATTTCATTCCGTCCGAGTCGGTCGCACTGCGGAACGTGTAACAGTCACGGCCGCCGCGCACCACCGGTTGCCATGAGTTACGCCGCAACTGCTGCCACTGCCGCCGCCCCGCTCGTCCGCAGTGTCAGTCCGTCGCCGCGTTTTGTTGACGTTCGTCGTGTCCCGCTCGCCGGTCGTCTCTACCGCCGATCACCGACCCGCGTCCGGTTAAAATCACTTTGACGCACGTCCGGTTTTCGTTTTCGCTTCGCGCGCGCACACCACCGACATGAAAACGTGCCGTGCCGTTGCCGACATCGCGCACCGCCCCGGATCCAATGAAGTGAGTACCGTACCCGGCGACGACGTCTTGCACGTCGTCCAGTGCACGTTGCGTGCGTTTTTATTTTTTATTTTTCTGTATTATCATTAACCACCCGTTATTACCGATCCGACCGCGAGCGGTCCGCCGTTATTGACGGACGGCCCGTCCGGATACCGGTCGGTTTCGTAAATCTTACCCCGACCGAGGACCAGTGCAACGGTAATGCTGTTGCTGGCCCCGCGGCCGTCGGTTCGGGGACGGTTTTCGTTCGGCCCGCGCCGCTTCGGTAACACGGTGACTGACCGGATTCGGGTAGGAACCGGGTGGCGACATGACAATCGGTACACCTGCTGCTGCGGGGAGAAAATAATTATTAACCACGATTAGAACGACGTCGCGTCTTGTCGCCCGGTGCTGCGCCCACACGTCTTGCGGTGCAAACGCTTGTTCGTTATCCACGCGCGATAAGACCGCCGCCGCGCGGACACCTGTAGTACGACGAGCCAGGAGCCGTCGTCGTCTCGATACCGGGTTGCAGTTTTTCCCACCTGCCCATTCCCGCCGGTTACCAGGCGGTTACTCCGGCGACCGGCCGTAATGACAAATATAATCCGGCAAATCAAACGGGTCGTGCAACGCGTTAAGCATTTGATGTGTGATTATTTCCACTGATTTCGAACGCCAATAGAAGAAACACGTTCTCGCGTGACGATCATCATCGGTCGGGCCTGAGGGGCGACAGGGGATCTCGTCTTGGATGTGGTATTCCGACTCCTCCCTCCTCTGCCCGGAGCGTAACTACGAAAACGCACTGCAGTTTTCGAAAATCCCCGACGCTATAGTAGGTGTTTACTACGATTTGTGCAAACGCTATACGTTTCGCCTTGGAACACAAGTGCTTTTGACGATATATATATATATATATATGTATATTGATTTTCACCCGTATATATTTTGATTTATGTGACTTGATGTGCGCTTCAAGTAGACAAACGTTAAGCACTTACGTGGGACGCAGTCGAACCGTGTTCGGTTTGCGTTTATTTCGGACGACCGATACGTTGGAACTCGGGTGTAGTTAATTTTCACTCGCAGTACGTAAAATCAATTTGAATAATGTGTTAATGACTAAGTATAATAAAACCCCGCTGCATTATTGTTGTATCCGGGTTTTATTGTCGCGATTCGTTCTATATAGCGTTGTTTACGTTTGGTTTTAATGCGGTATTTTGACGTGTATAGGCTCGAGTGTTTGCGATGTTTTATGTTAATGTTTAAAGAGATTAACATAAAATACGACTTGTATTATTTATGAAATCGTACAACAACGATTATGACTTCACATTTTAGCTGGCTAAAATGTATAGTTCACGTTTATCACGTTTAAGTAGGTACCTGTTCGGACAGAAGTGGTAAGTGGTGCGTATCACATCACTTCGTGTAGTAGGTGTGTTTATGATTACATTACGTATTCGTATGTTCGTTTTTTCCTCCTTGGGGTTGTTAAAACCCGTCTTCGTGCGCACTGAAACCATACGTTTTTTTTTTTTATATTTTATTATAACAACGCGTTTGGTGTGGATAGTTTCAGACATTCATTATTCGTTATTGTCTTCTTCGAAAGACTAATGGCGCCATACGTATATATTGCTGGCTAATCGTTTTATGAATCTTGCGATCACGCGTGCGATTGAAATTCAATATAATGTAACACAATCGTCGTTGAAAATTGCGTTAAAATGACTATACTCCCGCGCGATTTTATTTATTATTTTTTATCATTTCGTTAATACGGTCGTAATGGTCGAGTGACCATTGTTATTCACGTTTCTGTGGCTCATAGTCGACCAGAATATCGCGACAGTGGATCTTAATTGAAACTGTGCCTGTTATTATTGTTCAATGTAATAAAAATATCAATTTAAAGAATTGTACGTCGTTACTTTATATAATACTCAGGTAAATGAGGTTTAGTTACCTGTATATTTCTAAGAATTGCGTTCAGCATCGTTCAATTCGGATGATTTCGTCTGACAATGCGCAGGAACGATTTCCATAGCTAATGCGTAGGTACCTATTTAATTTTTTTTGCGTTTTGGGAGACATTTAATGCTGTAACATCCTTGACTAGCGGAGGAGTTACTCGTGTTTATTGTCGTGAAAAACACAGGGAAAAAAATCGGTTACAGTTTCGCGCGTTTCATTGTGTATCCGATTGTGTACGTATTGTAATGCGTTATATAGGCGAGGACGGCCGTATATTATTATAATTTGTGTATACTGGTTTTCAAAAGAACCGTAAAGCACGATTAGGCCTCGTGCGTCCTTCGATTACCGTATGTATACAATATGTAGAATGTATGGCGTACCCATATTTTATCGTATATTATATTTTTTAGATCGCACTTATGGCGAGTAAATAGTAGTGGTCAGCCGGAGGGACCGAGAGCAATAGAGAGTGAGAGAGAGAGAGAGAGAGAGAGAGAGAGAGAGAGAGAGAGAGGGAGGAGTGAGAGAAAGAGAAAAAGAGGTTGTTTGAAATACAATTTAGTGATATATTATTGTATGCCATACTTCAAAAACTGTAATTCATTTAGAAGAGCGTTGCGAACGTAATATCGTCGGTTGGTAAACTGTATCGTCTAGGATTTCGCTCGTACAATATATGACGCCTTGCGGTTTATGCCGTAAGACGAATCCTGCAAACATACGACACCCGCGAAACGTCGATAAACGACGCTCTTGCATCATTTTCATGTCCGCAGGTACAGTTGTGTCACGTCAGTGCGGGTGGCGGGGGAGTCGAAAGGAAGTCGACGTGAAACCCAATTACTATACCTAAGTGTGTACGTGGATTACTTTGGACGGCGACGGTTATGTCATCCGTGAACATGATCGAACTCGTGTGGTGTTTGAAATGGAAAGAAGAGGAAAAAAATAAATAGTAAAAATGTCAAACGCAACGATGACTGTTCGATCGACTGCGTGAAGTGGCGGCAGCAGCCATGACCCGTTTTATCCCTATCGGATGGCGCGCTGCTCGTTTCATTTTATGCGCGTATCCGCGAGCCTAACCCGACCGGCCTAACCGCGGTTGACAATAACGTTATATCACAGCGGCGATGTATAAACGACAACGCGCGAGAAATATTAGCGTTTCGCGTCGTGCTACTATATATGTACGTAAAACGTACGTCGGTGGAGCAGCCAGTGGCGGTCGGATTCTTTTAATCTGTACAAATATGGTACCGATATTCCACCTTCGCCGACGCGGGCGACGGCCGGCCCCGTTATGATGCCACTGCGCGCGCGTGCACATACGTGGCCTGTTTCCTAACTCGTGATCGTTGCTATGTGGTCGCCTCGGATAAAAGCTCTGTCTGCCGCGCGCTTATATCTTTGAACGTCTCATTGTTCCTGCTCTTTGTTCTCCTGTTGCCCCGATCCTGCCCTTAGCGGTACTCGACCTTAAAAAATGTCGTCCCCGGTGTAATGCTCGCGGAGAACTTTTCCATTGAAATGCGAGATAATCTTAGATTCTGTGCAAAAGGAGTGAAGGGCGACGGAGCGCGTTTCGGTCTTACGGTGGTTTTTTTTTTTTTGCTCGTTTCGCGGTATCAAAACGTTGACCGATTTATCCGTAACAAAAGTTTCTGTTATCACTGGGGAACGGATTTATATGTAATAAAAATACAGACATATGTACACAATATGTATGTAAGTATAATTTATAAAATATGCTTGCTAAAAACATCCAAATACGTAGGAAAAAAAATTAAATTAAAAAAAAATTATAATTATTTAACTATCAAAATGATTCGGTTGCATTGAATTATTACAATATCTTTTAGATTATCAAATATTGAATGTCGCCTATTAGATCTGAAAATATTTTTAAAACGGCCGAACGATCGTTCCACATCAACCTACATCGGTTGATTGAAGCACGTTCGAAGCGCATAATATCAGAATGCGATAATTACGAATGTTTAGAAGGGTGTCCGCCACTGTGTGCACGGCGTACGGCGACCCGCGTTCATGGCGTCCGGTCGTAGGAGGACACGACCGCGCGTCCGAGAGTCGTTCGACCGCGGTGTGGTGGCTGCGGACGACGACTGGTCGACGCCCCCCCCCCCCCCCGGTGTACGTGACACGCGGCGCGAGACGATGACGAGACCGTTCGTAAAAATATTTCCGTCACGTCGTCCGAACCGAAAGTGTGCGCGGAACGGTATGCATGATCCGCC